AGTAATATTCCTAAAGGAGACTTTAACTTTTACCAAAGTAATTTTTTGGTAAGATACTTTTACTCAATTATCACTTTGTGATACTTTATACAACATTGTATAAAACTACTTCTGCATATTTTGAGTTATTGAAACCATTAGTGTACTGACTTTACTTTTGTAGATTTTACAGTTTATTGTGGCTTGATGAGACCAATGTTTCAGCAGACTTACCTCTGCTCACTCTTTCTTTCTCTCTCTCTCTCTCTCTCGGCTGCAGAATCGTTGGCCTGTACATGTCAGTGGTCCTGGTGATTGGAAAGTTCGTCAGAGAATTCTTCAACGGGATCTCTCGGTCCATCATGTTTGAGGATCTGCCCTGCGTGGACCGAGTTCTGAAGCTTTGCACGGACATTTTCGTGGTGCGGGAGACAGGAGAGATGGAGCTGGAGGAGACCCTGTTTGAGAAACTCATCTTCCTTTACAGATCACCAGAAACCATGATCAAAATGACCAGAGAGAAGAAAGACAGCTAGGACTCTCATGTACTCCTAGCACAGGGGGAGATATTTTACTTCAGCACCGGAGAAGACTTTTAATAAAGGTGTTTAGGGGGAGAATCATTATTTTGTGCTCTTGCCCTTTGAAGTCTCAGGTTTTCTCCCTAATCCAGCTCCGTCCACTTTTGTTGTAGATGTTTTTACTCCTCTAAATGTTAAATTACTACATATCTCCTGACAAGGAGAAATGGTTAAAAACACTTAAATGTGCTCATTGCAAAATGTGAAAACACAAAAAAGGGACCAACTACAGCAAACAGTTCAATTTGAACAAGTTTACTCTGGTAGTTTTTCCAGATTTAATGAATGCAACTCTAAACCGTGGGTCCACACTCAACGTAAACAAGAGCACTCGACTGAATCTGCCGTGAACCAAGTTTAATGTTTGACCTGTTTTCAGTCACTTCGTTTGTTTCTGCAGGTAAACAAACATGTGGTAGTAGACAACCGGTCACAATTCTTGAATTGGACCGGTGGTCATTGCATGCCCTTCTAATGATTTTCATTAAAAGTCTTCAACCAAACTCTCAAAACAAGGCAATTAAATGAAACACACTCATACCTCCGTACATGCCATGTTTCTGTAATTACTATGTACACTGTGGCACAAATTTATTAATATCTAATATAAAAAAAATCTGTTGGACAAAACGTGTCAGTGTCTCATTCTACAAATTTTTACCAGAAGAAAACTGTTCTCATCAGGTTTATTGTTAATACATCTTTAATTACAAACAAAAAAATGTGATTTTATTCAGAAGTCTCCAGTCTTTAACAAGTTCATGATGTTATCCAGCTCTTTTCTCCTCTTCTTCATGTTCCGAAGAACAGGCTGGTGACAAGACCTCACATCCTCAGGAATATAGCTACACCAGCATCACATCCTAAAGAAAAACAAGAACAGAAATATTAAAAGTACTGCGATTAAAACAGACTGCAGTCTGGACAATTCTAATTTTGCACCTAGAATTAAAAAACATTTACATTTTTTATTTTTTGTTTAACGCCCTGGCACACAAATTCCCAATTTTGGTTAGGTGTATACATTTAACCTGTCACACATGTTCAAACACTTGTAATGTAATTTAAAAAAAAAAAGCTTGCACAGCAAATTCTCAGACAAGTGACAGGACAAAGGCACTTTAGGGGCCCACTGCCTCTGAGGACAGCAAACACTTGAGGAATTACTATTTTATTTATTTCCGACAAGTATTGTTGTAGACAGAAAAAACAAACAAGATAAATTATTTAATACAGAAAATTAAAGTCTCTTGTACCTGATTAAGTGTTTGTGGAAATGTGTTAATAACCCAAAATACAAATCTCAACCCAATCCTTAATTAACCTAAGCATAAAGCCTAAAAATAATATCAGAAAGTGTAAAAATCAGGAAAACATGAAAATAACTTTCCTCTTACTGTGAAATGTAAAAACTACAAGCCTGCAATGTCACCACCCAATGTCACAGGTTACCCGTCAGAAGTGTACACTCAGCTTGGGTAGAGTTAGGATAAAAACAGATTTGGAATGAGTGTCATTACTTACAAGCTGTTTTGGGTTTGTGTATTTTGACGTTTGCCTCCGCGGCCTTTATCGCCTCGGTCTTGAACTGTGGCTTCAGCGCCGCCCGCACCGCGTTTGCGCAGATAGCAGAGAAGCGGATGTAGCTGAGGAGAAAATACACACACAAGCTAAAATCAATCTCAAAACACAAACAACATCGATAGCGTTAAGTCTATAAAACAGTCAGTGCATCTCCTTTAACTACGCGAGATGCATTATTTTAGAAACTCACACTATACACAGAAATTAGCATTAAGGAGACACAAATTACGCTGCTAAAGCTATATGAGGCTAGGTTAGCTAGGCATGTTAGCTCCGTTTATTGTTTACATTCATTAAGTAGAAGGTAATTGATTTTTCGATAAATTAAGCCATCAACGCAGTCCACAATAATCTATCTCAATAAATGTACATATTTATTCAAGTTTTCTTACCTTAGGCCTGCCTGTCTCCAGTATGCAACCATCTTGCCTGTGTTGTAGCTTCAAGGACAGGTCGTGCGCATAATGACGTCATTTAGATGCGACTTTTCATGATTGACAGATTCATCCCAACCACAAACAGGCGTCTCCTGCACAATTATTATAAGGAATTTATATGTATCTATGGTCTCCTGTCTGAGATGACTTTGAGAGCAACAGTAACCCTAAAATAATCTGAGATAAATAATGTTTAGAGGTTGTTTTTATAAAGAGAAATGTTTATTTATTTTTAGCAGTATCATCGTTTTTTTATGTTCTGTCTTTTGTTTTGGACCACAACACAAATAAGTGTTATTCCTTTCTTGTATGCATGTACATTCATCAGTCAAATTCACAAGGCTTTTTAAAGAATGTCACACATTTAAGAAGTAAATAAAAAACATGAGTTGCAGTTTATTTGCATAGCAATTCACAACAAATGCTATCACAGAAATATACACAGAAATTAAATAAGTTGAGCGCATATTTAAAATAATTAGAAATAATTAAAACGCCGAATGTTCTTGAAACGCAGTGATCTATTTACGCCACCAGGGGGCGCGTCGCCGCTTTCTCTCTGTGTCAAGGTTTTTCTCCTTCAGCCGGGGTCTCCTCCTAGGTCTGGGTCACGCTGTCATTAGTCGTCGGTTCCCCAGCCTTGACAGAAAAACCTATAAAATGAAGATCTGGGCCTCCGAACATGTTTTTAAGTAAGCATCCGTTTTTTGGCTAATACATTTTAGACGAGCATGCCTGCTACATAGCCAGTTTTTAGTCCGTTGTGTTGTATAATCAAGTCTTGGCTGTCTCGTAGCTGCTGTGTTAGCTTCCTTCGCTGTGGGGAAGGGAAAAAAACAACACAGTTAAAACCTTAGTTTGAAGTAACTTGTCGAAATAATTTTTTTTGGGTACGATAGTTAACACTGCCTGTATAAAACAACATACTTTTAACCCGCTGGGATTTAATATGTTGGATGTAAACTGTTAGCTGATCTAACTTTGTTAGCTCTCAGATGCTAATCCTAAAGATATTCATGCTACYTTGGTAGCTAAGTGTTTTTCAACCCTGGTCCTCATGGCACACTGCCCTGCATGTTTTACATGTTTCCCTGCTTCAACACAACTGATTAACAGGCTTTTGTTGTACTGCAGTCATCAGAATCAGGTGTGTTAAAGCAAGGGAAGCTCTAAAACATGCAGGGCAGTGTGTCTTGAGGACCAGTGTTGAAAAACAGAGTTTTTCGCTTGTTTACTCTCATCTGCGCGCAAGTTTTATGGCACTATGTACTGCGATTTTATCAGCATTACATAACCGTGCCAGTCAGTGTTCCTGCCTGTAAACACAAATACTCTTTGGAGGATTCCTTTACGTTCTGCCTCATTCAGGACGCTGCACGTTCTCTGATGATAAACAATAGCAGGTGTTGTACGAAATTCTGTCCCCCCCGTGTTGGGAGCGCCTCCCTCATATTAATCCTTTAGGATTGGTCTGATGTTTACGGTGATGCTAGTCTGCGCCTGCGCAGTACGCAGGAGGCGGAACATTTCTGATGTAGCTGATATGATTTAATCTAATGTGGACAAGGCCCTGTGACATAATCAGTTTTAAACTAAATAATTACAGTGAAAAAATATGTTGCTTTGCAACATTCTGGACCCCATTTAAAAGGGATAAATCATTGCATTCAAGCTAAAGACATCAGGAGAGTAATACCTGTCAAAATGTTTTGAACCAGGTTCAGATCAGCAACAACAAAGTGAAAATGTCCTCCTGAAACAGCAAATATGTCAATGACACACAAATATACATTTGTTAAAAAAGGTTGACTATCATGCTGTAATTTTATTAACTTAATAAACTGTATTTAAGTGTTATTAATTAATAACAACTTGATGATCTATAGGATTTTTTAACCATGTCTTCTCTTTAACAGCCATCCATGGGAGACAGTAACCAAAGCGGCAATGCAGAAGTACCCCAACCCCATGAACCCCAGTGTATTTGGTGTTGATGTTCTGGACAGAAGTGTTGATTCTGAGGGACGGTTACACAGCACCAGACTGCTCAGCACGGAGTGGGGGCTCCCCGCCATAGCCAAATCTGTAAGCTTTGATGATGAGAGGAAAGCTAGATCTGCAGGCTTCTTTTAATGTTATATTGATGTCTGCTGGTTAATAATAATAATAATAATAATAATAATAAACTTGGCTTGTCTCCTCCATCAGATTATTGGAGCAACAAGAACGTGCACCTACGTTCAAGAACATTCAGTAGTGGACCCCAAACAGAAAACCTTTGAGCTGCAATCAACAAATGTAAGTAAAACTAATATATATACAAGTTTTTATAAACCTGTAACATAAAACTGCACTTGGAGCCTCAGACTGAGTCATTCAAACTCAAATACCTGCTCTGCTAAACTCATGGATCTAAACAGATTCAGCTCTCTGGTCTCTGATTGTGTTTGGTATATGACTCAAAACTCTAAAGTCCAAAGCTTTAAATGAGTGTAATCTTAACTGTGTAGTTAATTTGGTAATTACTGTTTACAAAGTAAACACTTGCCACTGTTATCATTTATGAGACAGCAACCTAATTTGGCTCTATGATGTATGTATTTGCTATTAAAGTGCCTGTGAAATCAAATGTTTGAAATAAATATTAATACGTTTTTGGAAAGACAACATTAGTAACATATTACAAAACTAATTTTTCACCACTCTTATGAACAACTGTTGAGAAATTTGCATGTGAAGTAACAGGAAGTTATATCAAAGAGGAATGTCTGCATGTGAACAGTCTTATTAAAATGGCTAACAACAGAATGTAGAGACGAATCTGATGTTTCTTCAAATAATTTTTAGTCACAGATGAAGAAGAGTCAGAGTTTACATAACATTGTTTCAATAAATAAAGTTCCTTTTCTTAACGAGTTCTTCTTCGATTTCACTTCCTGTTTCACTTTTGCTGAATCAAGTTCAAAGAAAATATGCCAATTTTGTGACAAAATAGGTAAAAATTGTATGTTTTTTGCCAAGTTCCATACATATAACATACATATTTGTATTTGAAAAGTATGCATGTCACAAATGACCTATAATCTAATTTTTGTACTTTACTATTGAATATGTTTTTGTGTTTTAAAATGCAGAAAAAGTAACGCGTTCTGTTGCTTTTATTTTTCCAGATCTCATTTACCAACCTTGTATCTGTGGATGAGAAGTTGACATACAAGCCACATCCACAGGACCCAGAAAAGTAAGTACTCTGTTTATAATCATGCATTGCTTTTCCAAAGTTTAATACTAGAACTAAAATGGACTCTGTGACCTGTGGTTTGTGTATTCAGGACGGTGCTGACACAGGAGGCTCTGATCAGCGTACAGGGAGTCAGTCTTAGCAGCTACCTTGAGAGTCTGATGGCAAACACCATGTCTGTTAACGCCAGCAAGGTAAGGCCGCTTTTAAATGTCTCCGCTCCGCTTTGCTTCCCTTCCTGTTTGTAAACCCTGTGTTTCTGCGTCAGGGTCGGGAGGCGATGGAGTGGGTCATCAGACGGTTGAACACAGAGATCGAGGAGCTGGCCGTCACGGCTTGTGGTTCCATTCGCGTTCCAATGGCAGCAGCCGTCGCCGATAAATGATCCCGGCTCTCTCCCGTCCGCTTTCTCATGAACCGACGAACTTCTCAGACATTTTACCCTTGAAGTGGACCTCTCATCTCCATCAGCCAAGACAGCCTAAAAAAAATCCACAGGCCCGTCCCTTTCTCGTTCGTTAGTCACAAGATCACGGTTAGTCCTTCCTCAGCAGTCTGCACGGTGGAGTTTCTCCTTGCCTATGTGGGCGGTGATGAGCGTTGAGCTGATGACAGTTTACCAAACAAGGGTTAATCAGATTAAACTCGAAGCTCGTGGGATGTCGTCTTGTGAGGTTAAAGCACTATTTTTAAAAACAAATTCACACTGTGCCTACATATCCTCTCAGCAACGTAATCCTTTCCTTCCTGCTCTTTAACATTTCAGATTTTCAAATCATTTTAGATAGGTGTAGTACATTTTCAATTACATTTCTAGATTTTGTTGACGTTTCCTTGAACTGCAGAACTGACTGAAATATCTAAAACACATTTATGCCCTGTGATCTAAACTGATACCTTAGAGCTTAATGATCTCAGATTTCTGCTAGCTGCAGCAGTTTAAATCAATCCAAGCCACAGAAGTAGAAACTGATGCCAGTAAAGTTTTGTACTGAAAAGTTCAGCTCTGTTTTTTATTTTATTTTATGTTTTTTAAGACAGCCTCATAATATTTATCTGCTACAGCTGTCATATCACATTGGATCTCAATTGTTGTATTTTACAGGCTTTCCAGGATAAGAAAAAATGTAATGTTATGCATATAACTACTGTTCCCTGAAAGAAAGGAACGAGGTACAACACATCATGTATGGGAAACCACGCCCCTGCGTGTCCTGGCTGAAGCCACCTCTAATCACRCCTTTAGGCAGGTGACGTGATGACGACAGATGTCAGGCTCAGTAGCATATGCTATATGCATAACATTACGTTCCCTTTCAGTCAGTTCACTCGGTACAACAACATGTATGGGACATATATAAACGCCCCGCAGAGCAACACCAAACTTGGGTCATAACATGCTAGTGCAGCACATCAGACCCAGCGGAGAGCACAGAGTGAGCCACCGCAGGGGCTGTCACATCTAAGCGATAAAACTGAACAAATGTGAAGACCAGCTGGCCACAGCACAGATGTCACTCACAGGTACCCCTTTAAAAAGTGCCCAGGATGCTGCTACACCCCAGGTGGAGTGAGCTCTCACACCACATGGGACTGGGAGGCCCCTGCTGCTGTAAGCTAAAGAGATAGCCTCCACAATCCAGTGGGAGAGTCTCTGGACAGAGTCCTGCCCCTGAGTGGGTTAGCAACACACACAAACCGCTGATCACATGACCTCACCTCCTGTGTGCGATCAATGTAAATACGCAGTGCACGTAGAGGACACAAAGAATGTAACCTCCTCTGTTCCTCAGATGCAAAAGTGGGAGGATAAAAACTAGAAAGCTCAATAGACGTGGAGCTGTAGTTAGAAGGTATCACCTTAGGGAGATACGCTGAGTTTGGATGCAGAACCACCTTGGAGCCATCAGGTGAAAACTGAATACAGGAGGGATTCACAGACAGAGCATGGAGATCCCCGACCCGCTTAACAGTTGTTAGTGCGAGAAGCAACACAACTTTAAATGAAAGGAACTTCATATCCACAGACTCCAGGGGCTCAAAGTGGGGGTCACAGAGAGCCTCGAGCACCACACTAAGATCCCAGGCAGGGATACTTTGTCCGGAACTTTATCTGAATGACGTCGAGAGACTGACCGAATAACCCAGCAGCCATAACTGGTTCATCCAGGTATGCAGCTCAGTCTCTGTCGGGGACATCAGAGAGTATGAACCACAGATGCCTCTGTGCCACCACGGTTTCGCCCAGGACACACTTACCTGTAGGCAGCGGCAGCCGACACCAACAAAAGCAGTTAAGCTAACTTTAAGAGCCTTTGAACAAACAAAGCTAACTAGCAGCAGCTAACTACAGTAGCTAGGTTTGAAGAGGTGGGCGTTCTAGCGAGGTGAAGAGCGTTAGAACTGAGGAGTGACTGTGATGACGGACAATATATAGTGTAGGCGGAGCCTGACATCTGTCGTCATCACGTCACCTGCCTAAAGGCGTGATTAGAGGTGGCTTCAGCCAGGACACGCAGGGGCGTGGTTTCCCATACATGATGTACCGAGTGAACTGACTGAAACGGAACTTGAAAGTTTCCTAAATTCTCCTTTCCTCTTTCAGTGAATGTGTTGTATACAAAGTGTTACAGTTTAAGAATGTTCATACTTGAATGTTTTAACTTTATATACTTTTAAAAGGAATCCAAGGATCATTGGTTAAAATAGTCCGTGTGCTTTGTTGTGTACGCTCACCAGTGTTTCAGGGTCACGTGCGGGATGTTGACTGTGTCAACACGAGTCATAAAAGCAGCTGATTGAGCTTCAGATTAGCCTGATTTGTAACATTTAACAAACTCATCTGTGTGTTCAATTAAGTCATCTTTTTAATTGCATTTGTAGGTGTTATTTATGTTATTTTTAACATTTTGTAACACTCAAGTGTATTTCCAAAGTTGATAGCATGTGCTGTTGTGGAAGTAGTTTTTATTTTGCATTTTTATTTATTTATTACAAGACTTTCATACAGTTGTCTTTGGTTTTGTCTGTATTGATTTCTCAAAAAGCACATTTGATCCACGTGGACATTATAGCTTTCTAAGACTTGTTTGTTCTTTCCTCACGCTTTCACTAAGAAATTTTTACATAAATGAAAGTTTACATCCAGGAGGGGCGTGGTACAACTAAAGCTTTTTAAGTGTTAAAATGTATGATGGTCTACACATCATTTCTCAGTGCCTCTCAGTTTCATCGTATGTTGAATCTTTCCAATCCTGCCACCATTTAATCCTTTAAATAGCATCTTCACAACCTTTTATTGTCCTAATGTTTTTTTTTTCCCTGCTCTGAATGATTCTGGTTCAATGAGCCTGTCACCATCTACACACTGTGTCTTGTTTTATGAAGGAAAAGTGATGTTTTTTTTAATGGGAAACATTGTAACAACACTGGCTATAAATAGGATGATATTTATATTTTAAGGTGCTGCATTCCAAGAATGTGATTAAAAAAATAACAGTATCTCAACAACAAGCACTGAAATATTTCAAAAATAAAGAGTCGTCATCGTTTCATGAACTCTGAAGTGTTTTCTCGTTCATCAGAGATTTGACAGCACAATTTTATTTTCTGACAAGTAAATGAAAAACAAGGTGCATCATTTCTTAAAGTGAAAAATTATAAATATATTTGATTTGCCTATTCTTGTAAAATTAAAAACTTAAGTGATTGAAAACAAGATGACATGAAATGTGAAGGTGTAATTTAATGACATCAGATTCAAAAAAACTTGATTTAAAATGAAACAAATCAATACAAAACATTTGAAAACAGAACACTTGGATCACAAAGATGCTTATTGGATGTAATTGGGCTATTTGTATAAATCAGTCATTTTTGACCACTTCTAGGCCTGCTGTAAATGAAAAATTGATTTTAATCACCTGTTTTTCTGTTGAGAAGCTAAAGAAGTTCAATTTTTAAAAGTTTAATTCAAACATGAGCTGAAAGAGTGTTTTATTTCTTTATATTTATAAAAAGTTGTTGTTTCTTTCTGCTGGTTCAATCTCCACATCTGAATAAATGTCCAGAAATCCCTGTTAAAACACAGATAACAGTCAGACTACATGAATCAGAACCACATTGATGTGTTATCCTTTAAATGATACGGACCTTTTCTATGTTCAGAACCGAGTTGACCAGATGTCCCTGTTTCATTTGAGGTAAAGGAATTCCATTTCCCAGCAGCGCTGAAACAAAAATAGGCTTTTCAGGACAGACATAGAGAATACAACCAGAAAAACTGCATTTTTGCAGAAAATACGGAGTGACTGAATTCTGAAATGTGGTGAAGTTAAAACTAAAAGATGCAAAACATGAGCTAAAAGTCTCAAAAAGCTAGCTAATTGAAAGAAGCAAACAATAGCTAAAATATCCGCAGGCCAACTATAAACCAAAAGTAGCAAAAACTAGTTAAATATATCAAAGGGCTAGCTAGAAGCTAAAAGCAAATCCTAGCTAAATGCAGGGAAAAGCTAGTTTAGAGCTACAGTAGCAAAAGACCAGACAAATGGAGCAAAATGCTGGCCGAAAGCCAAGGTAGCAAACATTAGCTAAAAGTAACAACATGCTAACCAAACTAACAGCAAAAACCTAGATAAATGTGTCAAAATAGTAATGGATTTTTCATCAAACAAGCTCAGTCATTCAGTTTATCTTACATTGTTTAATTTACATTGTACTGCCTTTCCTGACTGAAAAAAAAAATAGATAAATCTATCAAAAGGCCAGTGCTAAAAGCAGCAAAAACCTAGGTAAATGTATCAAAAAGCCAGCTGAAGGCTACAATATCAATCCTTAGCTGAAAGTAACAACAGGCTAACTAAAACTAAAAGTAGAAAAATAAAACCTCGCTAAAAGTAAAATACTTCACTACGGAGCCCACTGATCCCAAAGGGAAATTACGTAATAAAAAGACAAAAATGGAGCAAGTGTGCAAAAAGAGTACAAGGTTTTGGAGTAACTCAAAAAGATAAAGTTTTTAAAGAGGCAAAAGGTATGCAGAAGTATTTAGATTGCAAACAAATAAATACGTTTTTAATAATATCTGAAAACACAATCATCATTCACAGAGGACTGATTTGTGACGAGTAACAAAATATTTCAGATTTACTTTCTAGTATTTTTTTCCTCCGGAAATGTTTGGAAATAAATCAGTACTACTCATGAAATCTGTGCAGGAAACATTATACGTCTTACTGTTCAGTTTAGGTAAGACCATCATTTTTATTCCCATCTTCACTCCGTTTTCCAGGGCATCAGTCTGCAGAGAGAAACGCTGTAGTTATTTTGTGATCAACAAAACTAAATATAGGTAGTGTGTAATAATCTACAGTTTACCTTAAAGGTCCCCACTTCGCTGGACACCAGTGTCAGTGTAAAACTTAAAAAGAAGTAGTTTCATTCATTCAGGTTGCAGTCACAGAACTTGTCATTAAGTTATTTTTAAATATTTTAATGCTTACTTATCCATTGTTACGGATCCTTTCAGTTTCTGATCAGCGATCCACATTTTTCCACTAAATTTTGAGATCTGGAGGAAATAAATCCACATGAAGTAGGCCCTATATACTGAGGTTTGAAGGAAAGACAAAAGTAACGATGCATGACAGAGTAATACTACTCACGCTGCTGAGTTTGAACAGTGGGACCTGGGTGGTGTTTGGCTCTATGGCGTAGGCGATCACACCGACTTGGAGTCCAAGTTCACCGAGCCCAGGCTGGAGGGAAACCATGGGAGAGTCTGAGGCGTACACCTGAAGAACCATCAACAGGTTTGGGAACTGCTTGGGAAGCTGCAAAAATAGAAAAAAAAGTTTATTATACATATTTATCCACATTTAAATAAACCCAAAATCAAAAGAACAAGTTTAAAATGTATCAGGATGATTGAAGAAGCCGAAATCTGAGGAATATCAAGGACTTAAAGAGGAAATAAGCTGTCATCAAACATGGCCTTTATTTAAACACTTGACTGAAATCACTGCTTTGAAAGGATTTTGTCTTTTTAAAATTGTAAGAGCAGCAAAAGAACAGTGACCCAGTTAAAATGTAGCTTTTATTTTTCTTTAACTTATGGTATTTCTGTATTTGACTATATTTTCATGATATAATTTGAGGAGTAAACAGGCCCAACTCTTGGGTTATTAGAGGTTTTTTTTACTTCAACTCAGTCATATAGAGGAGTCAGATGAAACGTTTTTCTCCTTCACATTTGCGGCCCTAGCTTGTGAAAAAGACTGAGCAAATACGTTTACCTGAGGAATAAACACTCCCATGGAACTGGTGTTCAGGCGTACAGGAGATGCTGGAGGTATCTGAAAACACAAAACATCTCTGAAGCACAAACCTGAAGGGACAAAAGTACAAAACCTGTCTTCTGTCAGTGAGTTTCTGCACCTACCATGCTGTCATTGATGAGAGCCTGAAGCTGTCCTGCTGAGAAGTATCCGTATGAGGCGGAGTTCATGGTGAACTCAGACATCCCCACGGACAGCATGTGGTCCGGCTGCTCTGGCATGGTGAAGGGCTGGGCCACAAAGGGGGGCTCCATGTGAGTCTTGATACTGTAGAACTCCCCCTTTAAACAGTAAACTGAGTTGTCACAATCTGCCATGAATCACGGATGAAAATTTAACTTTAAAGTGCCTGTGACATCTTCAAATACAAAAAACTTAAAGAAAATGTCATTACATTTAAGAAACTTGGCATACCACACATTATTTTACCCATTTGGACACAACTGACCTATTTTCTTTGGCTTGGCTTGGCAAAAAGGAAACAGGAAGTGACATCAAAGGGGAACTCCATTAACAAAAAAAACTCACTGGTCTTTGTTTATTGAAACATTTTGATTTGAGCTTTGACTCTTTTTTGTTTGTTTGTTTGTTTGTTTGTTTGTTTGTTTGTTTGTTTGTTTGTTTGTTTGTGTCTGTTAGCGACTCAAAATAATCTAAAACATCAGATTCCTCTCCACAGTCTGGGTTGTTGAGCTTTTTAGCTTAGCTCTGTTTTAATGCAGACATTCCCCTTTGACATCACTTCCTGTTACTTCACGTGCAAATATCTCAACAACTGTTCATCTCAGCAGCATGAAAATTATTTTGCAGTAAGTTCTCATTGTTATCTTTCCAAAAATGCATTTGTATTAATACAAAGATTTTGATGTCACAGGCACTTTAAATATATGTGGGATTATGTCAAAATGTGTCAAACTCAAGGCCTGCAGGCCAAATGTGTCCCACCATGACAATTTGTCTGGCCCGTGAGTGCTTCAAAGATGTGTTAATGTTTTAAAATAAGAGTATGCTGCTTTAAAGCCAGAACTGATCATAAACTACATCTCCTATAATGCATGTTGATTATTTTACCCACCACTAGGTGAAGGTGCAGTAACTGTTGAAATTTACCATGTGAAGTCTCCATTTAGCTGCATTTTTGCTGACTAATTTTGTTGCATATGGCAGCTCATCACAACTCAAAGTGAATAAAACTCAGAGTTAAGCACAAAATGACAAAGTTAATGGACTGGACAGCCATAATGCTCACGTACCCTCTGTGAAAATTAATTTGTGACCCCTGTATGTAGAAAAGGTTCAGTTTTTGTTCTCACCTTTAATCCCATCTTTAGATTAGAGGCCTCGATGACAGGTGGATCAGTGAGAGGAATTTCAAAACTAAGCACCTCACTCACATTAACGGAAACTAAACAAGAATAATAAAAATATAAATTGTTATTTAAACGTGCATCATGCAAATCATGAAAATTGTTTTGAAGTTGTAATACCGCTCATGGCCTGTAGGTCGCTCTCCACGCTCACAATGAACTCCTGAACTTTAGGGCAAATCTAAAGGAAACGAGCCAAAGTTCTGCAAAGTCATGTTCACTGCTAACTTCAGATGATCACTATCAGATATGTGTCAAGTAAAGCCTAAAGCCTGTGTTAGTATGTGCACTTACTTGACTTTGTATCATATCAACAATATGCCCTTTGAAATGGTCCACAAATGGCTGAAAGATCCAACTGTTGACAATTAAAAAACAAAGCTTACATTTTGAAGCTTGTGTAAAAGAATATAACCTTTCTCATTTCTTTTTTTTTTCTCTTTCTACCTGGCTCCTCCATGGAACTGGATGTCAACGTCTCCAACCTGAGCATCACAGCTGAGGCTGCTGACAGACAGATGACCATCAGAGTCTTTCCCCAGCTGCACCACAGAGGTCAAACTCATGCTAAATATGGCCATCTCAAACGTTCCACCATCATGTCTGGAAATGCAAAATACACCGACTGGTGACTGAACCAAGTAAACAAACACTTACTGAGCAGACATTACACACAACACCTTGTTTATCTTGAAACATATGTCTAATTGGTTTGCAAATCCTGCAGATAAAGACTTTATTTTGTTGCTTTAATGGTCGACAAACCTACATGAATTTAAGGTTTTTCAGATAGTTGACTTTGTGATTTACCTTAGCTTTCATTTTCAGGTTTAATTTTAGTGTGGCACCAAAAGAAGAAAAAAAAAAACTGGAAAATTCCCTCAGTAGTTCTAAGAAGCTGAAGACATTTTGTGTTGAAAAAGATGGAATGTTTTTGTATTAATCCAACTCAGTGGACTCATATCTTCTGTTTGCAACTCAGTCATTTTAATCACAACTTTTTCTTTAAGTGAATTAACAGGTTGTCTTGTTTTGTTTGCCCTAAAGGGAGCATTTCTTTATTACCAACCTTAATGAAAGAACATCAACACAAAATAATAGAAAACTCACATGAGGCCAAAATTAGTTCTCCAGTCACCAGCTAATGCAACACTGAGGCCTTCTATAGATGTCTTAACCCCCGTGTTGTCCTGAGAAAACTCAACCACGGGCTCTGGAAGGTCACATTTTGTTACGGTTGTGCTGGAATACAACCAATGGAGAAACAGTTAAAAGAGAAACAGTTAATGTTAACAAATGTGTAACCACTCCCCAAAACCTACCCTGAAAGTGTGTAATATACAGTTCCAATATGGATATTAACATCCCCGCTGATGTCTGGAAAAGTGATTTTCTCCAGCTTGTCCTGAACCCATCCTGCACCGACATGCTTCACTGCACACAGCACATGTTTGAAAGTTTTACAAAAAACAGTCTGACTCACTTTGACATGATCAGACAAGCACCGGCTGACTTTCTCCTCACCGTACTGAAGCCATTTGTTTGTCAGGACGACTTTTACTCCGGGATTCTCTCCACAGACGCAGGACAGAAGTGTGAACACTGCGATCACAGAGGGACGCATCTTTGAGCTCCTGGATTAAAACAAACCAAAAAAACAAGCAAAACAAAAAAACAGCCAGATGTTTATATTTGAATGCAGTCGTGGAGCTAAAATCAGAAAAATTCCAGAGAACTTTTTGTTTAACACAATGTTAATTAAAAAAACAGTGTTTTGTTTGATGTTAAGCTTACCTGGAACCACAGATTATTCTGTCCGGTTGAGAAGAAGCTTCAGGAGTTTGTTCAGACCTCACCTCGTCTTTGCTGCAGCTTTTACTTCCTGTATCGTTTCACTGAGAAGTGAAACCTAGTCTCAGATCTGACAATAGCTGTGAGGTTTAGACGCTGGTCCTGTTTGAGGAACTGCGTTTTTAATGTTCTCTCTGCTGCTTTTGGCAAAAACTGTGAACTTTAAATTATAACCATCAAACCACTTCTGATTTCACATTTTTGTAAACTTTCAAAGTCAGTTGTATGTTCTTACTTGGATTTTAGTTTAGTTTTTATTTATTTTTGCACCTGACCATGAGTGCATGTTGTACAGTGTGTACTTAAAAATAGGGACAAATGAGGAAGAAGAAACATCACATCTGAACCACAGAATATCAAACTGTCATGTCTTTATACAGCAAAAAACCTTAAACAGAACCTGAAATGTCCCTCTTTAAGACAAGCTTTTGGCAAATAACTCTTTGGTGATCATCCTGCTGACATTAAAATATTTCTTATTTGAGTCAAACTGTGTTTTCTTTGATATTTTTCATGCTCTATTGTGTAGATTCTCGGTCATCAAGAACATGGCTAACACAACGGCTCAGTGGTTACTGATGCTTCCTAGCAAATAGGTCCTGGGTTCGATCCCTGCTTCAGTTAGGTTTATGTGGGTCCAAAATATCACGGTTGCCTTCAGGCCCAGGCCTCCCTTTGCAAAAGATATCTGCGATCTCAATGGGATTTGCCTGGTTAAACAAAAGTTAAAATAAAGTCTGAACAATATTTAAAAAAAATAACAAATGGACTTTTGGGGAGCTTTCCAAGCTGTAAACATGATGTCGTTGTATCAGCTAAAGAAATGGAAACAATACTTTTGTGATAGAAAATGCCAAAAGATCCAGCGTGTCGACACAACACTGGTGTATCTGTTGAGTTTATGAGCCTTTTGAATAGGGATGTAACAATACATCGATCCATATCGATATATCGAGTTGAATGGTTCATGATTCAGTTATTTTGAGGCAAAATGAAAATATCGATTTATATCGTCATCATACGCTCATTGTGAATCGATGTCATCTGCCCATCACAGTCATTGTGTTAGATGGGCACATGATATTGCGTTATATCGATCGCAAAAATGTGAATTGAATCGAAATCGCATCGTGACAGACTTTGTGATATCGAGAAATATCGAATCGTCATCCAAACATATCGATGTAAAACTGTATCGTGATAAAGCTGGTGATTTACACCCCTACTTTTGAATGATTCTTTTGTCAGAGTAAAATAACTTAAAAACGTGTATCTGAAAATACACAAGTGCTGTTTTGGAATAATGAAGAAAAACTTGTGACTGAAGACATTTTGATCAAAACCAGTTCAAAAGATTACAACATGTGACTGCTTGGAAACAATTTAGCAATAAATTATGGATGGTTTATGAGTTTCAAGGAAAGAAATTAGAACTTCGTGTATTAATACAGACAGGTGGTAGCCGATGAGGACAGTAAAAAATCTGATATTTCTTATTTAAAATTTGTCTGAGAAGTCATCCGTAAAAGGAACTGAAAACGTGTCGGTTCCTTCACCGTTTTATTCAACCTAAGCCTTGAAGAACAAAAAATTAGTTGGTTAAAGTAAGAACTGATATGCAGAATATTCAGTCTCATCTTTGAAGCGCTTTCTTCAAAAGAGGAAGTTTATTCATTAACCTTTAAAAACAGGAAGTACAACAGAGTCAGTCACCCCGAACAACAACGACAAAAAAGAAAGCATTCGACTCACCGGCCATAAAATATCTGATTTATTTTTCTCTTAATTCGACAGATTGTCTCACACACCATGTTTAGTTCCATTAAATCACATTTAATACGTTCACTGGGAACAAAACGCACGTGTATAGAACAATTGCTTGCACTTCATCCAGATTAACGACTGAAACACCAGAACAAAACGAGCCAATGAGAACTTCAATCAGCAGAAAACACAAAAAACCAACAGAAATATTCTTCTTCTCAAAGCACTACACAGAAGTTATTTAGGTTATCAGATGGCCTCCTGTTTTCTCTGATTATTGAGCAGCTTTTCCACACATCATTTGAACACAAACACACTCACATTTTGATACTTTTCATTGAAATTTTCCCAAAACGATTCACTTGTTCCATTCTTGGAAACACTTTCTGGAATGAGACTATTACACTATAACTGTAGAGTTTATTATTATTATTATTATTGCACATAATCACAAAGGCAAAAAATAAAAAAGATGTACATTTCACACAGAATATTCTCCTTTATGTTCAAAAGTCTGCATCCTTGTCTATTTTTTTTTCAGAGGTCATCTCTGGAGCGCTCAGTCGTGGATGTCATACCTGAAGGCCTCTATGAGCCCTTCGATTGAATGAATGAAGCCAGAAATGGCGCACACACCTCCAATAACAAAAATGGCGATGTCAAAGAAGACATGGTGCCACAGGAGGTTCCTCCACTGGAGCTTCAGGTGGAAGAGGCTGGGCAGGAGGAAGCACAGGCCGGCGCCCGTCAGGCTCCCAGTTAGACCCATGAGCAGCGCGAAGTGAGGGACAAACACGGCCATGAGCAGGGTAAAGACCACCAGTGCCACGCGAAGTCCCAGACCCCAGGTTTTTAAATGCCCGCCGGGGCCGTAGCAGTCAGGAAAGAGGGCTCTGCCTCCGTCCTGGAACAGAGATTTCTCCAGGACCTCCACGGCGGCGAAGAACGGCAGCGGGTAGGAGAGCAGCGCCTTGGCGACCAGGAAGAGGTTGACCACGGCCCGGATGGTGGACGGCAGGTTATCCGTGATCACCTCCTTGGTGGCGTCCGCCCACGTCAGGTAGGCCACCAGGGCGAAGAGGCCCTTGAGGACGCACGCGGCGATGTGCGTCCACTCCATCATGCAGTGGAACTCGCTGGGCCTCTGCATGTTCCCCTCCAGGGAGGGCAGGAAGATCTGCGACGTGTAGCTGAACACGATGATGCCGATGGAGATGGGGAACTTCTTCACGTCGATGTAGAACTTGACCTTCTCCCAGGCCCACTCGCGCGCCCTGGACAGACAGTAGGCGATGACCAGGACGTTGATGACGAAGTGCGCCAGCGTGCAGAGGAGGCTGAACTTGGACACGGCCTTCAGGTTCTTCAGGAAGGCGCACGGCAGCAGCGCGGCCGTGGCCAGCACCGACCAGGCCTTCTGCGACACGGGGAAGCCCGGGAAGCTGTTGTACATCAGGTTCCCGCTGACCACCACGTACAGGATGCACGTCATGACCAGCTCGATGATCTGCGCCACGTTCACCACGTGGCCGCCCAGCCGCGGGAAGCGGGGCGCGCAGCACGCGTTGGCGATGTCCACGTACGAATCCCGGACGCGCTCCTTCACGCCGTCCTCGTTCTCCTCGTACAGGCAGGCGATGAGGATCTTGCCCGTGTAGCAGCACACCACGGCGGCGAAGATGATGAGGAAGAGGCCGAGGTAGCCGCCGTGGAGGATGGCGTACGGCAGGCCGAGGACGAACATGCCCTGCGGACACAGAGGCGCGGGGAGCCGTTAGATGACCCAGACCCAGATCGGAGTGACAGGCGCGCAGAGACTTACTCACACAGCTCCCATCTTACATAACAAAACCATTTTTTAACCAACCAAAAGCACCGATTTAAAATAATAATAATTAAAAAATAATAATAAAATGTGCGATTTATCATTTAATATTAAACATTAAATTGACGAAACGAACACACATAAATTAAAAATATTTTTAGGATTAAAATCGTATCTGATGATGCTGATAAGAACGTGCCATTCAGCCTCGAGCCTATCAGAGCAGGACAGGCCCTGCCTGCAGCCTCACTGATAAAAACATTTGAATAAATAAAGTCTCTGCTGTGGATTCACTCATTCACAGACAGGTTTCCTTCCTGACAGTTTAACTTGAAAATGAACTAAAACCTTTTTCTTCTAATTATCTGTTTTATGTTGGCTTGCTTTAAAATAACATGTTTTTTTTTTCAAAAGAAAAAAATACTCATTTTTGAATTAAATCAAGTTGTTTCATCAATATGCTACAATATTCAGAAAAATATTCTGTTAAATTTTAATAATAATCATTAACATTTAAGCTTGTTAATCGTTTGATAGAGATTTTAAAACACAAAAGAATCAATTTATAGGTGCTTTAAAGTGTTTGACCAACAGTTGTAATTATCTTTGCAAATTATAAGTAAAAATTTGAAACAACCAAGAGATATCTTTGTGGGTTTTTTTGCACATAATTGGTGCTGACACTTAAAACTCCAACTTGATAAATAGTGGATTAAAAATAATCAGATAACTTTGTGACAGTGATCTTCAGACACAATAGCAAAACAACATTAAAGCCAAACAGTTTAGTAAATCTGTAATAAACAAATAAGATATGCTAAATAATCAAATGTTTATTTATTTAGTTATATTGTTTTAAATTATAACTGAAAACCTTGTTTGTTAAAAAAAAGTCAGCATTTTTGACTCAAGTTTTGACTGGGCGGGCCTTGTCAAAAAATGGGTGGGGCTCAAACATAGACACGTCCACTGTTCTCAAAGCTTGGAGGCTGCGTTTAATTAGGATGCAAATCCATCATAATTTGGATACATTTTATTGCTACATATGTTAATATAATTTATGGAAAATATCAAGGTGACTTTTTAGGCCTCGTGAAAGCAGCACCCCCCACCCCCCACCCCTTACCTGGATGGCGTTGGTCACGTTCCACCCAGCCTCCCATGAGGTGATTTTGGGTTTATCCTCCTCCAGAGACCCTCCAGATTTCAGCGCCCTGGGACCCTTCCCGTCCCTCTGGTAGTGGCTGTCCCCGTCCAGATCCCCCTCTCCCCCCGCTTCCCCCCCTTCTTCCTCCTCCTCCCCGCGGAGGACATCCATCTGCATCCCCTGCCTGTAGTCGTAGTCCAGGTCGTCGCACTCGGCGAAGCCCAGACCCTCCTCGTCCGTGGCGGCCTGGAAGCCCATCCGGGCGAACATCCCGCTGACCTTGGCCTGGGACTTGTTGGAGACCGTGTGGGCCGCGTTGGTCAGCTTGTTGGTGATCTTGTGTCGGATTAAATGAGCCATCTTTATCCCACTCAAAGAAATTCCTTCTTCAGCTGAAAATCAAATCTTTAAAAAAAATAATCGCAGGGTGATGAGTTTAAATAACTGCTACATTAAAACCATGCCTGTTGCCTCTTCAAGGGTTTCAACAATCCAAACCGTTAAAAAACCCTCTTGTCCTGAACATCCATGTTCTTCTCCTCCCTCAGAGAACCCTCCTGGATGAAAAGAAAAATCCTTCAAAATAAAGGAAAAATAAAATATTTGGCCTTGAATGTCGTTAAAATGTCAAATGTAGCATTTTCCCCTCTTCTCCACCAGCAGTCCTGTCAGTTTGGAGTGCAGTTGGTGACAGAGAGCGCAGGAATCTGGAAAAAAAAGGAGGTGGAGGAGAAAGAGGAGCGTGCGCGTGTCTGCATGGCGCGCAAAGAAGAAGGAGAGAGAGAGAGAGAGAGAGAGAGAGAGAGAGAGAGAGAGAGAGAGAGAGAGA